CATGCGACCATCACTTGAAACCTAACCGCACGCCTGCAAAGGAAGGAACTAATACTTGGAAAACCAACGGCCAAATCACACGCATGCTGCATGACTGATGTCAGTGATGTGGAGCGGGTTTTAAGTTTCCCTCGCAGACTCGGTGTTGGTGATCAGCAGGGTTTGTTGCGTGTGCAAAGCGCCGGGATAAAGCAACACCAGCTTGAGCACAGAAATGAGATCCGCGGCGGCGCAGGCCCGTCCAGCACTAGAACAGCATGCGCTAGCAGCCTTCTGTTGAAGTGGGTGACAAGGAGCAAGAAAGCCTAAACCCGCTATATAATGCGTGTAGTGTCAATGTTAGGGTTAGGTGGGTGTATGTATGGGGAGAGAGTAGCAGATACTGAGATCATGGAGATGGTACTACATCGTCGCTACACGTACACATGTTTTACCCTTACATCCGTCATGTTGTCTTGATATCCTATGATGGGATTGGGAGGCAAGGACTATTGACCGCCGAACACTGCTATTTTGCTTACGGATATCACCGGGCAAAGGGTCCAGTTCTGCTTGGCTGTGTCTTCTCCAGATAAACACTCTATGTGGTGTATCGGATTTCAACATACAGTCAGTGCGCTCGCATACGATTACGAGTGTTTGTGCTCTTCCTCTCTTTAGCACGACACGCCACAGCCATGGGTATCTGCTTGGCCAACTGAATCGCAGAGCTACAAATCGCCCGTCACCAGTACTAGCAAATCCAGGCCCCCAAGGATCTGTACATAATTGAATAATCGCATTGATCTGCTCTTGGTGGAGGCTATGTGCTGAATGGATGCTCTTTTCCGAGGTCATGACACGATTGCGGTACACAATGCTCATTCTGAAATGTACTATGGAGTCAGACTAGTCTCTAGAGTCTGGACTGGAGGCAGAGACGTGAAATTTACTCGAGTATAAGTAGTGTAGGTGTACTGGTACATGATTGAGAGACGTCGCGACTAGCTGGTTCCGCAGTAATCGACAAAAAAGTCTGCAGTAGAAAATGCAAGTAACACAACCATCTAAGAGAATAGCTACGCAACGCTTCCCTGCTGCTTTCGATATGGCAAAGAATTATTTACCACAATCGTATTGTAGTTGCTACACAGCTTGCAAAGGAAAGGTTGCATCCGCCAGTAAGGTCCCGGGGTGTTCCCGCAAGCCCTGGGTTAGTTGACACTACAATCTTGCTTGATTGACACCGCCCCAAGGTCCGTCCTGCCTGTCACAGTTGAGAAGTTCCGCGTGTATGCCAGGATGTACGCGGACGGCAACTACTACTAGTAATCGGAATTGCGACGCAGCGCCATCGCCACCACCGGCTGACTTGACTCAGAGAACAGTGTCTCTGGGTCTGAGTTTCCCTCTATCTCTTTCTGCTAGCTCCCAGGTTCCAGCATCACCGGAGGGTATTTGGGTGGAAGGTGACTGGCCTAACTGTCTACAGGAACTGAGGAACCCTGTCCCATATGTAGGGCTAAGGCTGTAGGCTGTGGCCAGAGCCTCTGGAGCAGAGCCTCTGGAGCCGTGAAGGCTGAACACACTCAACTACATGTACCAGTACCTTTTCGACATAATGCTGCACAACAGGATAATCCCGGTACATACAAGCTTTTCAACCCTAAGCAATGGCCGATCCAGCAACGTTTTGCACATGTACTATTAAACACAGCTAAACTGAGCATTGTAGGAAAGTGAACAACAGAGGAGGGACGAAAAACTAGCCCAAAAGCCACTGTCAGAAGGCAGGATGGTCAAACCACCAATGTCCACCCTTACTTAGCCATAGAGACATGCAATGCACCATGTACATTGTACATGTAGCTACCACAGCCTGGGTGACGCTATCATCTTCGTTTACAATTTACACGTAGTCAGCTCTTCAGGAGTGCTGTGTGTGTGTGTGTGTGTGTGTGTGTGTGTGTGTGTACGTGTACGTGCACGTGCGTCTGTGTGTGTGTGTGTGTGTGTGTGTGTGTGTGTCTGCGTCTGCGTCTATATGCCACGACGCCTTAGGACCAGGCCATGATCATTCATGGAGGGCTATGGCATACTACTTGCTGCTTAACAGTAGCGGGTCTAACGGTACAGGCAGCAGCACCAGAACTCGAACAGCTGAACACAAGTGATGCCATTGTCCGCAGTGATTATCCGTGCTCAAAATCTGTGAGTTTTCTGGGTGCCATGTCGCAGACACCACACACTACAGAGCTGGCTCATTACTGGCTATCAGCTGAGACCCATCAAGGACTGAAGGAGGAAAGCCGGAGGCTGCCTGCACTGACCCAGGATAGGTGTCAGCCTAGCACAATAGAGCAAGCTAGTTGATAGAGAACTCTGGAGTGTTAAGCAGTCTGTACAGTGGCGGTGCACATGATGTAGTATCGACATGTCCGTCTGCTGGTAATAGCAAGCACTAGGCACTTGAGAACAGGCCATGACTTCAAGGGTAATGTGAACATTACATTAGAACTGCGTGTTGTGCATCTATTAACTTTTTAGTACCAGGCCACCGAGTACATTCCCCACACATACTGTAATGCACCGTAGATTCGCGACGACCAGCTTACGCTCTTCATCACTACTAACCGGTAACGTTGTTATGCATCCTGCTGAGCTAAAGACTTCAAAAGTACTCAGCAGTATTCCAACTCATAACGTTAGAACATACACACGTACACGTGCTTAGCCACAGCCTTGCACGCAGATACACATTGCCGGAGAAGGCGTGCCCACCGCGGACACCACCAAGGCAATACGTAACCAAGATCTATCCACGTAATCCACGCATGGCGTAAACCCCCCTCGCACGGACCCTCCCCCCCCCCCCCCCCCCACACACACACATACTGAGTTGTACACCTGGCCGGGTATAGCTGATCCAGTGTACTGCACTTAGCCGAGACCGAACACCCTGGAAAGTGTGCCTGCTGCGCTGATATTCCGGCCTGCATGCTACTGATCACGAAACGAAACTGCATTCTTGAATGTCGGGCGAGGGCGGCGAGAGTGGCACGAATGAAGGGCGAAAGCGGACCACCTGCTTAAATAGTCACATTGCGAGCTCACCTGCTGCGCCCAGCGCATAGCTGAGGAGCTCATGAGAGGATCTCGCAAGGGAAACTGGCAACAAGGCACTTCACAACACACACCGTTCCAGACACTGACTGCGACACAGCGTTTCTCCATTGCAGTGCCAGGTACCGGGTGCCAGGGTGGTGTACATGCACAATGTACTATAATATGACGATGTAGAGAGGACGAGCAAGGGTAAGATGGACGACTTCATGGCTGGAAGAAACTTCGGAACATGCAGTCACCATACCCGATCACGATGAGCATTGACCCGTCTCATCATGTTCGTCCCAACAAGCAAGCAAAGAAGATAATAAATCTCTTAGACTGGACTGGTTAAGTTAGTTGGCCCGAGTGAAACCCCTCACGGACTTGCACAATGCAATCATGTTCACACTGGATCATGGATGTGACGGTGAGGAGATGAACTGTCATCAACCATCATACAGTAACAGTTAATTATCACGACCCGAGTCAGGAACGCTGTTGAGGAACGTTTCGCTCCGCGTATGGAGGGTAACATTACAATGTACATGTACATGGTCATGCATTACTAACGTAGAGTAGATAACACGCAAGTCAGCACCTCACGGCATTTCAAGCATCAATGTCTGTTATAGCGAATAGAAAGCAAGCAGAGACCGCTACACAGCACGGCACAGATACCATGTTTTAATGCGGCTATCCGAGACGGCCGAGCATTGATGGCACGTCACAAGTCTGTTGTTCTCCAATTGGTAGTGGCCAGCAAGCAGACAGACAGCAGAGGCGGTGCTCGGCAAGCTAAACATGTGTGCCAAGGTCTAATCCCCGACCTGTGAGGCTGTGTCTAATCCCCGATCTGTGTGCCAAGGTCTTTATCCTCGACCTGTGTGCCAAGGTCTTTATCCTCGACGCTTGGTGATGTCACTTGCTATTGTACTAGACGGCTAATCGCTATGTGCAGGGTCTAGGAGTACAAGCTCACGGTGTGAACACGTATCAATGTGTCACGACAAAACGTCTCAGATAATCCATACCTTCGACGTGTACACGCGCAGTTCGTGTCGATACGTCAGGGAGGGCGACAGAGGGTAACGTCGGTAGTCTAGTATTACTATTAGCCATGATGGTGTCTCGCACATCATGTCACTCCGTCCACGGATGGGAAACCTTTTCAGTCACGCTCATGGTAATCACTGATTATCAGAATATGCACGGAAATCATGCCACGATTTGAACCTTTCCGCGCACTAACAGGATGATGATGATGATCTATCCCTAGGCTAAGGCTAAAGGTTGGCGGAGGACCTCATGTTGGGGAACTTGCTGATCAAGGCCAAAGCTTAGGTTGCGACCTTGGGGTAGAACAGGTTTCATTTCAGGTTTCATTACAAGCTGCGGTGGTTTATCTGACACGAGGGATACACGTCGTGTCGTTGTTGTCTTGCAGACAGAGAGTGTCCTCCACGCATCGTTAGTCAGGCGAAAGAGCTGCGTCTCAATCGGGACACGGGGCACGGATATAGTGTTCACATCACGTCTTCTCAAGCATCCACTGACCCGGCGTGACCCATTTCCAATGTCCATTGCCAGCACTAGCACTCACAGTGACTCTTGCTTCGCCACGGGTCGAAGAGAAAACAATGTGCCACGCTCACACATCCAACTACAGTTGTACCACATCGTGCGCATTCCTTAGCATCGTCTGCCCTTGGCGCGTAGAAGTCAACGACGGACGACCTGTGGTGCCTATTGCGCCGTTTTAAGTTTTACAGAGAAGAGAAGACAAGGTTTTGGCGAATAACAAAATGCAGATACGGCGGCAGAGTAGGACGCACGCACACACACACACGCATACACACACACGCACGTACATAAGCAGTACGAGCACTACACACTGGTCTGGGAAGTTCACTTACCCAGAGTTATTGCCAGCATGATTTGGAGAAGCGCTATCCTCCACGTCCAACAGCGCACCAACGCTGCGAATCCTGAACGACAATAACGCCGTTCCCAGCATCCCCGACCGCCACCATCTCCAGCAGCACAACTACCAGCCACCATCACAACACTACTACATGCAGACATTCTACTAGCTGTCTGATGTGACGTCGAAATGTGTGCATCGCAAACCACATGTCTCCTTCGACATCTCTCCTCCATGTCTCCGCATACGGCCAATGCCAAACAGCGAACGACCTGCCTTTGCGGGTCAGTCAGCGCTGCAAGCGAAGATTCCAGAGACACACACTCGCAACATGAGCTAGGCCAGCGGGCAAGCAGCCTCCTCTGGCACCCTTCACCTCTATCCCTCTTTCTTCCTTCCTCCCTCTCCCTCTCTGTGGGTCTAACAGCTGACAGCTCCAGCCCGACCATTGAGATCCGACAACGACTTACTGATGGAGCTGACCAGTAGCCTAGAACCAGCAAGTAACGGTCTCAACAGCAGAAGCAGCAGCGATGTACGAGTACAAGCACAACAGCCAAAGCAGCATACAGTAGTACGGTCAATGACCATGTACCATTACATTGCTCGCCCGGCACATACCAGAAGCTGCAGACTGACAGAGAGAGAGCAGTAACGGTACGGATAGTAACGGTAAAAACGCGTACACCGATCCACATCCACTCACTGAGTCAGAGACAGTCAGCTGTGAAGCCTCTCAACTACTCAAGTCACTCAAGATTAGTAATTCTGCATGCAGTATGCAGTGATTCACTGCCCATACTATTGCTTATGTTCGAGGCTCAGAAGTGCCCAGCCTCCAGAAGAGTGAACGAACCACGGTGAATATTCGAATATGGCCGGGTACCGGGTATTGGCAGAGCTATGCTGCATAATATTATACACCTCTCTCAAACGGTGTCAAATACTGAGCTGCACTACCACCACCGCGACCGTACTGTTGCTGGCACACGTGATGGGAGAGTGCACAACGGATAGAGAGGGGCTAGCTAGGGGGCACTTAAATTCGGCAGCCGTTAAGCCTTGCTTGTAACAGAAGTAGGTTATGCTGCCGTCCTTCACTCGAAACTCGAATACTGTCGAGTGCTGCATGCAGTGCTGGAGCTGCTGCAACCATCCTGCTGGCAGCAGGCAGGGCAGAATAATGCGAACGAAGCACTTGTATGTCTCCAGTCCCCCAGCTAGAGTGTCTCCCACTATTGGTATGTATCAGCCGGTGTTGGTATTGGTATTGGTATGTATCAGCAGTATGATCGGCAGTACATGTACTGTGGAGTTTGAAGCAGACCACCAGACACACAGACACACTAGATCAAACTGTATTATGCATGCTGCTGGTGCCAAACTAACTGTTGACCTCCCGGGAGGGGGCCAGTTCTCACGCATGCAGCGGATCCTGCGCTGAAGGACGTTTAGGTGAAGTGGCATCTTGCAACTGCCATGCTATGTATGATGTGCCACTCAAGTAGATGGATGGCTGAGTATGACTGCACTCAGTACACGGCGTATACAAGTGTGACTGTGTCACAAGCTATTGACTATTGTCACTACATATCTATGGATACTACAAGTATTCATTAGTTTGAGGGAAAGACAGTACATTGTATGTTTAACCCTGCACTTCATACATGTACATGTACATCGCTAGGGACTACAACTGTACATGCACGGGTACATACTGTAACAAATCGTGAACCCGACACAAACAACATACATTGTAGCTAGCACATTGTAGTGCATGACGAATGCATGGTGTTCTTGGAGAAGGACGACCTCACATCAGACCAGTTGTCTGTTTGCAGTAGTCTGTAATGTATACAGTTTGAGTGACATGCCCAGAATATGCACAGTACTACACTCCTCTTAGTCTCTGCATCCAACCGGGCACAAACCACAATGTTGCTACATGTATATTTCGCGCTCGACCTACTGTGACGATCAAGGCTTATTTCAAACATACATTGTAGTACATGCACCCTCTTCTTCTAACTCCTTTACATGCAGTCATGGTACATAGGGACGACCAGTCGAGGCATCTCGAATAGCTAGTCCAATAAAAGGCAATTATACACGATGTGGTATCACAGTCAGATACCCGGGCCAGCCCTGGGAGCAACATCACACTACATGCTGTACTGGGTTTAGGCACTTCCCATACACCACATACCAAGTACTTGAAGTAGGCATAGACTACTACAGTACTGTCGGTCGCCGAAGAACTGGGGGGGGGGGGGGGGGGGGGGGAGGGTCAGCCTCCTAGCCTAGACCGTTCTTATTTTCATGTACTACAGTCTATGCACAGTTGAGTCACCGTGTATACATTGGTATGCTGTGCTTGCCGATTCTAGCCTGGTCGTTCTTCAGCGCCCGACAGTACTGTATCGATAGACTACTTTGTAGTATTGGACACTGCACTGCATCCACATGATCCAGGCCTTTCACATGATCCAGGCCTATCGCAGCCAGGCGGGGATAATGCCCCATGGCTCTATCACAGTATCAGTACCATTCCATATATCGCGCCTTCGAGTTCTTTTGCAAGTTTTTTTAAATGGCTGCAAACTGCAAAACAGCAAAGCCTTTTTGAATGAACTCATCCTTTACTATAACTGGAACAGGGCAAGCAGTTTGGAGCGTTGCTCGCTGATCAACTGTACTTCTAATGCAGCACGAGCAGAGACTTGTCGATATTGTGACTGAGGCGTAAGGGGGGGGGGGGGGGGGTCGAGGGTGTTCAGACACAGTAACATGATGCACTGGTCCAACACACTAAGTAACCAAGGAAACCTGTAGTCCCCAGGCAAATCGATCAGGACCGGACCTGCTGAGTGTACTGTGTAGTGTTTGGTGGCCCCTGCGCGGCTTATTGCCCGAATATACATGTACATTGTACAGTCCGGGCCAATGCAGGCCGTGAGAATGGGTCGCGTTGTTGCCGGAGTCTCTACATACATGTACTGTGTACCGGTATATCTGCTGCATAATACTGTCCCAGTCCCCTCCTTCCAAGCATAACCATGATAACGTTGACAACGGTAACTGGCGTGTAACACACTAGCTGGCTCTGGACGGTGTGGAAGCCATTGAGGAGCAATCTCTTCAAGCACCGGTAACTTACTTACTATCCCCTAGGTAATGGTGGAGGCTGCAGGCTAGTCCACTCTACTACTGTACCTTTTTTTTATAGTCTCTAGTCTCTACTTTAGCGGTCATGTGACCATGTTGTTGTGTTTATTTTAAAATTGGCAAACCAAACGACGGGCAGATGTGCCCAATGAAAAGGTGGCCAATGCAGATAGAATGCAGATAGAAAGCAGTAACTGTACAGTGTAGTGGAAGCCACGCACCCTCACTAAAAGACTACTCCTCCATGTACAAAACTCAAAAGCGGTTTTCCAAAGTCACGATGACGGAAAACCTGCGTCAGGCCGGAACAGCCCAACCCGGGTCCACATCGTCTGTGCATATCTTGTATCATGTATCATCGCTAAAAGTAACTTAGTTTGCCTAAACTCATTCTCAAGCTCAGACTCGATGAATGGCTTATGTCCTGCCCCCTCGGCGCAGGGTTAAAGTGTGACAGGAGAGGAAGCAATCCAGACCACAGAGCCTATACTGGCGCATGGGGCATGATGGGCTGGGTGTGTTTGTGCGTGCGTATGTGTGTTTGTGTTCAAAATACTTGCACAAGTGACCGTGGACTGGTTGACGCGTGTTGATACAAGCACAAACGTTCGTAGTAATACACGTACCAGTACTGAGTACTGCGTAGACGCATGAATGACATTATGGTTATCTCTGTTGTTACCACATTGTACAAGAAAAGTACTGCTCAATGAAATCCGATCAAGCGAGGCAATGCCACGCCGGGCTATGCGCAGCCCTAGACCTGGGAACACTGGGATGGGAACTGGTGCAGTCTGCAGGGTGCCAACTCGACCCAGGCGATCGGATTTCATTGAGCAGCAGTGTACACGTAACAGTCATGTACTGTACCGTGTACGCTCATGTAGATATAGATTTGTATGATCAAACTGCTCCACGCCACTCCAGTCTCCAGTCCGTCCCGCACAATCTCAACACACAGAACTTATGTCCTGAAGGCGACCATGGCCTACACACTACTGGCAGTACTGCAGCCAGGCATGGCAGCAATATGCTAACATGACTATACTATAGTACACACTGGCCATGGCATGGGCTTGGTTGTACAATTGTGTAGACCTCCTCTCTGACAACCGCACATTCTGCAACACTGCCTGAAGCATGCTAGCTGCCATTGAGGGCTGGCAACAACCAGTTAGACTCCCTATCATGGCAAGACAAACAAAGTGAGTTCCTTTCCAGCCACTGAACGGCGGAAGCAACTGGTTAAGCAACCATTCAGATGTTCACATCCATCCCTGGGAAGCGACACCCCACTACTCTACGACCACTCCACTACAGACACTAGTCACTGGTTGCCCGTCAGGCTTGTTCAAACATCTGCAAATACCACCGCACACTTGTAAAGACTACTCCCTGGAACAGCTAGACGCTACTCGCCATCGTGTACCGTGTCGTTCATGCACCCACTCTGTTCCCAACATCCTGTAGTCCAAACGCCAATTGTGTACCACCACATCGTAGATATCAGGTCAGGAAGGCATGCAATGAGCATGTCAGCATGCGCTGCTACGTAGTCGTTACCTACACGGATCCTGCCAGGCTAATCCAGTAATAATAGCGTGTGTCTGACTCAGCATGGCAGCGAGCTTATGGCCACCATTACATACTGCTATGCGCTCTGGTCTTGGACTGCCTGCCTGGTAGTACTGTCGTGGTAGTGTGCTCCGTGACGTGCAGGGACTAGGGAGGCACACAGCAAGACGGTGCTCAGAGGCTGGCCCGGCCTGAAAGAGGAAATTCTCCCCCCAAAAACCCTAGTCCAGCAGTAGACATGGTAGACGAACGTTAAAATGACGTGCAGCAATCCGTTGCAATCCATCATCAAATAATTAGATCTTGTAGACGAAATCAGGTACGAATACGATCAGCGGGAGATCACAACCTGTTTACACAATCAATATTCTGATCTCACACCCCCAACGTGACTACCACACTGTACTACCGGTGTTGTGCTGCCATACTGCCTTACTGACATACTGGCATACACCGGTAGGTAGGGTCCGTGTCATCATTCACCACTCCTTCAGGTCTCACTCGGTATGCGGAAGTCTCTCCCAGTGACACGGTTAGTGTGACGTCGCGAGGCTTATCATGCAGTTATAATCATTACTCGACATTACTTATTATAATTAGTGGTTTTGCCATAAAGTAACGATTGGTAACTCCGTTATCAGCGTCTTATCTAACATGGAGAGCAGCATTAAAACACCATCTCAAGTAGGGGATCATGTACAGCAGGGAGTCGTACCC